ACTTCCATAATAGAGGCTGGGGAGAATAGTTGAGGATGAGGTGAGGATTGCCAGTGTTGCCATGACGGCGACATGCGCAGGCGGCTATCATTAGAAGACTTGGAGAAGGGAGAGTTTGCAGTGAACAATGCACTGCTTAATCAGCCTCAGCTTCGAGCTTTTTTTTCCGTCCAAAGTGCAATCTGACCATCAAATTATGGACAACTGAAGACGAAAAATAGCCCGAGATGGCTTTTGTGCCGTGAGACAAGAGACATGATATTTACGTGGTCACGAATCAGTGATGTCGGGACGAAAGCCAATGCCGATTTTCGGCGCATAAACCACTAAAATTGGAGGTGTAATCATCACGAGGTTGACTTATGCCTGCCAGGCACGCGGTAATGATAAACAAACACAACGGATGTCACCGAATTTCGTGAGAGCCACGCCAGCAGTGTGCCGCTAAGGTCACTTGAGCTGCCCTTCAGCCGGTCGGTTGATGGCCCTTGGGGTGGACGACGAGCTGCTCACATCCAAACACACTGCTGAGGCCGAGATCCGATGTTCGGATGTGTTTGGAACAAACAATATGAAATCCCAGGTGAGTTCGAGGGCAGTCAAGGCGGAGTCATTAGGATGATGGCGCACAGGTGGTGGAACCAAGTGGTTAGCGCTTAGGACATCGGTTTCATCAAATCAGCGCCTTCTTCTGCGTATGGAACAAAATTAATAGTTGGTGAAGGCTTCACCTGCAAACAAAAGAGTACCTTTACTTACCTCTGGCAGGGACTATCGCAGACGCTGTAATTTGTCTATCTGTACTGGCGTTGTGACGTTAGCGATCATTCACTCACAGAAAAGTAAGGAGGAGGTGGGGAAGGAGGAGGAGGAGGAGGAGGAATTCGTTTAAAAAAATGTCATGCGTCCGTGTGTAGATTAAGTGTGGGAAACGATGAGCTTTACGATGAGGAATTATGTGGCCCGTCTAGAAGACAAAGTTTTGGAACCATCAATCCACTCTCTCTCCTCCCATTGCCTGTCAAAAGCAATCAATGGCAGAAATTTCCCTTTCAAAGGCAGTCAGCAGTCAGCAGGACGATCAGGTCCAGTGGAGGGCAGATGCAACTGATGCCCATCTGGGTCGTAAGAGCAGCACAAAAGGAGACAATCTCGGCGACAACAAGCCTAACTGTCGCGTAGGAGGACAAGAAAACAACATTCAAGGTGGATTGGAGGGCTTCGAGGTCATTTTTGTTAATGGACCTCATCAGATGATGCGTCAGAATTTTTCGCGCTCAAAAAAGCAAAGACAC